ACACCCACACCCACACCCACACCCACACCCACCCACACCCACACCCACACCCTTATTAATTTAAGTTTCTTTCTTAGGCTACTATACTTAATCGGCAGTATTCTCAGACTGTCTTTCTACTAGAGATTATGTCAAATGGATATTATGAATTAGTTAGTGTCCAAGATAAACTATTTCGATTCTAACATGAACAAATATTTAGAATTACAGTCGTCTATACTCTGGAAGAATCTAATTCGATTCAAGACCTTTATCATCATTTGTTTGACATTATTTAAAACATGTAATAACCAATTAAATTATATATTCAATCAAATATCATTCAAAATAAAGTTGAAGCAGTGCAAGCAAGCAGGCTCGTTTTTTGTTGACAATCATATGTGCTGATCTAAAGATTCACTGTTACCTAGTTTAAGAAATTCAATAGTAATCTTTTATAATATTCTCATATGAAAAAAAATAGTCAGCGACATGTAGTAATTGTGAAATTTTTTAAAGCACTTCTTTCTTAAATGAGATTTATATTGTTCTATACCACAAGAACATAATACATATCTGTCGTTATGCAATTTATGATATTTCTACCATCATATGATATAACTTAAATGCATTCATTTTATAAACATGAATAAAATACTCTTAATGTATGATGAAAAACTTTCAAAATTCTGCTATATGAACATGCAAATATTCATATACAATAATAAAATAACTTTTGGAATATGGAAAGTTTGAGTAAAAACAATTTGGTATTTTATAGCTGAACAAGTTAAAGGAACGTACTGTCATTATCCATCATAGTCCTTTTCATTACCAGGGTAATAGCCTTTTCCTTGATGATTATTTGGGATAAAAAAACAATTCCCTCAAACAAGAGTAGTCTTAACTTATTTCTTATTTGATGCTGATCTCAGATAAATCAGAATTCTTTCAAAATTTCCATTGCCCGATATTAATGTATAGACGTTGCTTGTGAGAAATGCATCTGCTATTGATAGGCCGAACGAAACGACTTTTTTCTGAGAGACAGTATACCATTAGGACATCTGGCCGGATAGCAGAAAGTGCGTAGTTCAATTCCTGCGAAGAGGGTATCTTTTTCGTTCTGTCACTATAACATTTCCTCCATTTGACCGTGGCTATGTAACTGAAAACATCAAATAACTGTTTTTGTTGTTTTTCTTGAAGAAGAATATGATGATTAGAATAATAAAAGATTAATTGATCGACAAAGACATTGGTATCAATTAAAAGATGCTTTCAAATTATTAACTATTTATAAACCATCTCAACTAACTTCTTTCGATTCTTTTCAAAAAAAAAAAAAAAAAAACTATCTTGATAGGTTGTGCCATAGTGCAATATTTCAATATACTAACAGTAGCACAAAAATGAATGTATTATTCATAAATTTCCATATGAATTTTGCTATAAAGTCCAATGATAAAATCTCGAATTTTCTATTAAAATAATAGTGAAAACTTTATTTAAATTTTGAAGAACTTTATGATGGGATCACTTTCTATTACATCGATAATATAACAAGTATTTTCAACATTTTCCATTGCTCTCTGAATATGCAGTACAATATAGAACCATGAAAGTCTTACTAGGTCCAGGATTTCCACTTTTACATTTACAAAAAAATTTTTTTCTTCTAATAACAGAAGAGTATTGTATCACGGCATTTTATGATTTATTAAAAAAACAATCATTATTAGACAATAGAGTCAAATATTTGACACTTGATCGTTTTTCGTTTTCCTTTTTTCTGAATGAATATCTTTTCTTATTTATGTGTGATGTAAAATGCTACATCGATCACATTAACATAGAAATAAAAAATCGAAAAAAAAAAAAAAAAGAAATATCCGTCTGTGAATATATTGGAGGACTATACACACAAATGTTATAATTCTTTATTCAATAGAAAAGGTCAATCTTTTTTTTCTCCAATAATAAAAGTGCTTATGAACAAAGAATCAATAGATAAGCATATATATCGTTTTACAATAGGTGTTACAACCATATTTCAATATGAATCAACATAATGTTCATCTTCTTGATCTACCCAATGAAATATTATTTCTCATTTTGAGAAAACTTGCCAATGTTGATGTTCTTTATTCTTTTTTGGGTATCAACAATCAACGACTTGAAATTATAGCACAACAACAAATCTTCACTAACGTCCTGAATTTTGTTTCTATATCACAATCAACTGATGAGATTTCTTCAATTTCTGCTTCAATACTCGATCGATTTTGTAATTCAATATTATCAAGAATTTATATAAATGTTAAATTTCTCATTCTTGAATCTGTTTCCATGGAACGTATTCTTCGTGTTGCTAACTATCCTAATCTTACTGGAATCAAAATTTTTAATTTCAACAAAGCAATCGTTTCACGTTATTTCATGGGTAAATTATTCATGTTTACTGGTCTTTGACATAGAAATATATTGAGATACACATACTTAACTATATCTATGTATTTTGTTTAGATGATTCTCTCTTTGGACATAATTTTAAACAACAAATTACAGATCTTGTTCTTGTCAGTAATGAAAACAATATTGAAATAACACCAAAAGAATATACAAAGAATGTTTATGCAATTATCTTTGTTTTCTTTGAAAATCTAAAGCATTTGAGTATTGTGTCATCATCTATCAATGATTATTCACCTTTGTCATTATATTTTTTACCATCAATGACTTGTTCTTGTTCGACACTTGCTAAATTATGCATCAATGTATGTGATTTTAATGATGTTCATGCTTTACTTGATGGTCGTCTCAAACAATTAACTACACTCATCGTTCAAGTTGATATTATTAGCGATCTGATATTAACATCTTACAACAGAGTGAGTTTATGTTCTGTGTTATTATAGTTTTCTAATTAGTATTTAATATTGAACCTGGCATGTGA